TTCAAAAACGCTGCTGCGGTTCGACTCTCGATTTGAAACAGTTCAGGGTAAATGTCTCTTCAGGACTTGCGACGGGATGAATTACCAAGAAAAAAGGTCGAAAATCAATGGAACCCATAAATCATTATATAAAATACGTTCCCATTGAAAAAAGGACAGAAAAATCTGCTCACATGCCTATATATGGAACTTCCAGACGATGCGCCATCTGCAGCACAAAAAGGAAGCTCATAGGAATATGTGGCGTCGCACGATTTGCGATGTAGGTTTATGCCTGAATGACAAGAGAAATTGTTTTCTTGCATATCATAATGTCGATTAGCCTCATGTTGTGGAAAGATAATGCTTTGTTTCTTTGGTAAAAGTTTTTGTTTGGTGGTCCTACTGGTTCGTTCGGGTGACCACAACTTTTTCAAAAAAATATGTGTAATACATTTTTTTCACAAAATGTTTGACGTTTTTTTACATCCTTTAGGTTCGGAACTAGGTTTATGAAGTGAAAATCCTAAAATTATTTAATTCCGGACACAAAGGGTTAAATGGAAAGGGGGGTCGCGTGATACCTTCCCTTTATAATGATATAAAATTAATGTACTTCACTTAAGTAGTTTTGAAGATTTATTGATTTAAGCTTAAAGTAGACTTTAATAGGTACATCAGATTAGTTTGTATTACTTTCAGAAGAAATTTGACTAAAAGAATTTACTCAATAAGTAAATGCTTTTCTTCACTACGCCCATGGTTTGTTTATCATTTTGTTGTTGAAAATAGCTATTGGAGCGTTTTTTATGGCAAAAAAGTTATTTCTTAAAGAAAGATAAGGAAATATCTCGTACCTATTTTAAATAGGAATTTAGTACATGATTTGGCCAAACTTTGTTGCTAAAATAACTTGTAACGCTTTATTACCCATAAGGAACGAAGCAATAGAAGTGGGGGTTTTAGGGCAAGTTTATGTAGATCCTAAGTACCCGCAAATTGGAGACTCTGTGTGGTGTTATTCGTCGTACTGTCCAACGGATTCTAAAGGTCCATAGTTCTCATCCGTATAAAATTCACCTGGTACAAGAACTTAATGAAGACGATTTTGATCGGCGATTACAATTTTGTGAAGATATGAGTGAACGAATTATAAACGATGAACATGTTCTATTCAACACTTGCTTTTCCGACGAATGTTCCTTTTTCTTAAATTGCGTAGTAAATCGTCATAACTGCCAATATTGGTCCGATTCTAATCCAAGAATTTATCATGAGGTTCATACACAGCATCCACAAAAATTAAATGTTTGGGCTGGTATGTTTGGCGATCATTTAGTTGGTCCTTTTTTCTTACCTGGAAATTTGACCGGTGAAATGTATTTGGAATTACTGGAAGACGTCATAGATCCTGCATTAACAGCCATAGTTGAAAATAAGAATGATCGGCGGTACATTGCGAATAGGTTGATATTCCAACGGGATGGTGCCCCACCACATTACACATTACGCGTCCGATAATATTTAGATCAGACGTTTCCAGATCGATGGATTGAAGATTTGCCATTGAATGGCCCCCAAGATCGCAAGATTTATCAGCTTTGGATTTCTTTATGTGGGGTCATTTAAAAAGCAAAATACATGCTACTCAGCCAACATCATTAGAAGACCTGCGACAAAGAATTGTGAATGAGTGCCTTCAAATTACTCCTCAAATATTGCAAAATGTGCGGCAACGTTTTGACCAAAATCTTTATTATTGCATGGAGAGTCATGGTGGCCATTTTCAACATTCTTCATTTTTTAATTACTTTGCTGCCAAATGTATTGATCTCCACTAATGATGGAGGTTTATTTAAGCTTTAAATCAATAAATCTTCAAAACTACATTAATTTTACATCATTAAAAAGGGAATTGAAAGGTCTTTAAAATAAGGTATTACTCGACCCCCCTTTCCATTTGAGATTTTGGGGGTGGTGTCACCCCCGCTTAGGGGGCTTCTCGTGCTAACGTAATTTTTTGCCAAACTTGTGTCCACCTTGAAAACAAGATCGACGGGTCTGAGCGTTTTTCAAAAAAAAAAATGTCTTTTAGTCCTGAAAAAAATATACCTAGTATTAGTCTCTTTGGTCTAATAGAGCAAATAAATATTAACTATAGTCAACGCCAAACAAAGTGGCGTGCACGTCATCAAGGTGGGTGTGTTGAAAAATTTACATTGTGGCCAAACTTTTTGTAAAATAATAAAATTTATTATTACATATCTAGGTTTATAAGCAATATTAACCTCAAATGAGAACAAAAATAATAGTATAATAAAATTATAGATCTGTACTTGCATAATCATTAAGTATGACAACTATTGATCAGATGACACTATGAAACTACCATATTTAATTGATAGCTTAAAGGTACTGAATAAAAATCCAAATGGGGTCCTCCAAATTTTATGCATGGTATTTATTTTACAGAATTCATACAGAAAAATGCATTCTAAAATTAGGTAAGCTACTGGTGTAAGCTTTTTCTGTACAATAAAGTTAGTCGGAGTTTCTTTCTTCAGCGCTGTCTGAATCTGAATCTTCATCATTCTCAAAGTTGATTATTAAAGGTTCGATGTCTGGTCGATCAAAAATTCGTTCTCTTTCATACCATTTAAAAATTTCTTGCTCAGTATGTCGAACACTATTTTTCCACATGTCTGGGGTAACCGTTTGTAGAGCCTCGTTCCACATATCCAAATAGTCTTTTTCACTGTTACCATCTCTACCAATATGTCTGTTATAGTAACCTTTTGCTATGCCCCAAATTAACTCAATAGGGTTAAATATACAATGGTAAGGAGGCAGACGAAGAACTTTGTGCCCATGTTGTTCCGCCAATTCATCAATCACGTATATTTTAGGTGGTTTGTTTCTAAAAAAGCAGTTATTTTAAGAATAGGAATAAACAAAAGAAATATAAACTGTCGACCAAAATATATATAATTAAGAAGCATTATGTACCGAGCAACAATACTCAATAGCTCTGTTTTAAACATTGTGTTTAAAAATGGTATGTTTTGATTTGTCAACCAGTCTTGGATATTTTTTTTTGTCCATGCATTGTTGGGCACTTTGTTCAATATCATGCTGTGATAAGGGGCGTTATCCAGTATAATCATAGATGGACTCTCCAATTTTTCTAATAACTGATGTTGAAACCATTTCAAAAAATTGTCCTGGTTCATCTCTCCATGGTAATCGCTCAATTTTGTTTTCGAAGAAAATATCGCTTCACTACCCTCAATAAACCCATTTTCATTTCCAGCATGTAATATAATGTATCTAAAATATATTAGTTTTAAATTTTATAGTGCAAATTGTGTAAAAGTACATACCTTTTACCATCTGTTTTAATAGCTTTCACGCTTTTTTGGTTTCCATTTTGCCAAGAGCGACCTATGGTCCCATTTTGAAATATCCAAGTTTCATCGAGGAAGACAAACTGGTATAAGGCCTCAACCTTGGCTTGATTGTATTGCCTTAGAAATTCCACCCTTTTCAAAGCTATACTTGGTAGTTCCATGAGCCCTCGTCGCGGATTGTCCTTAAGCCACTTAAATCCAAGATCTCTAAGCAACCGCCTTAAAGACGTGGCACTACCATCAAATAATGCCCTATCTCTTAATCGAGACCATAAAGTTTGTATCGTAACTTGTTCTTCTGAAACCATGTATAATATGACATTATAATTTAGTTAACAAATTAATGCAAATTTCTGATAAGTTATTATAATAAGATCTTACTTTTGTGATACATATTATAGATCAGTTCTCGAATGGCACTTGTATCCAATGTCGCTGTGTTGGTTACACGTTTAATATAACTCCGATTTTTCTTGGGCGATTCTAAATTTGCATCACTTTTCACACCCTCGGAAATACGACTAACTGTCCTTAAACTAATTTTTAAAGCAGCAGCAACACGCTACAAAAAATGAAATAGAATTTCACTATTATTAATGTACATTACATATAATTATTAGTAACCTACCTCTTGAACAGCATTTAAAGGCAACAAAGGCCCGTTGTTGTCCCTTTCTTGCTCAAAGTAGTGCATTAACGAGGCCACGAGTTCCTTACACCGACTATTTAACTGTTTGGGCATCTTTATATACCAAAATTGCCTTTATCTACTCGTAAAATTAATAATTTTGTTTTGAAACAAACAGTTGTTGATTTACAGTATGCGGGGCCAAAGGATTTATAAAGATTTGAAATGCCACAAATTGATTCAGTGTCAAAATTAATACAAATGTCAGTTCCCAGTTTAAATAAGTTTCAAGGTGACAATGTGTCAACGCTGCGAAATCGGTTTAGTGCGTTTACATGTCGATAAGTGATTGGAGCGTTTGCAAAACATTTTATTTCGCATAATGCGTCTAAATTTATCAGAAAGCAACTTATGTGATATTTTAATAACAATGTTTATATGACTATTAACCATAATAAGAGAGTAATGACCATTTTACAATTTATATATCACATTAATATGAAACTGCAATAGAGCAATTGTTTGTGATAGAAACCTAGGCATTAGGTCGGGGAATTTTTATCGTGATGACGTGCACGCCACTTTGTTTGGCGTTGACTATATCTAGCAACCACTTAAAAAGTGTCATTAAGACGTCACACAGTGACGTCATCGAGCTGTGACGTTGTGGCGTCATGGTCAACGTCATATACTCGTGTGTCTATTTATATGTAATATGACGACCGCGTTTCCTGAAAATGACGTCGATATAATGACAGCGTGTTTGCTGGGATATCCGCTTGTTTTCTTTTCGTTGTCTATCTTCAAGACGTACACCGTACTGATGATCGCTAGCAAGCATAAAACAACGTGGTATGCGGTTGGTCATGGTCAGAGAAACATATTCTATTCATAACGATAGTTTTATTAAGAGCATGTATCTATGGCATATTTACTCTGTACTATCGAATTTGAACATAAGTAAGGTATGCACAGCTTGTAAAATTACGTCTCAATCATGGGACCGGTCTCTGTGTATGACATAAAACCTAAGATTTTCCGTCCTTGTACCCCTCAACTAGGAATCTTTCAAATCAGCCATGTTTCGAAACCATATTGGTTTCATCGTCGGAATTTGAAAAGTTAAAATTAAAACTTCAAAAAATACCAGAAGTTTTAGGATTTTATAACATTCTGAAAGAAAAAATTAAACACACATTGTCAAATCAATCGCTTTATTAACTTTTTTAATTCAAACTAGAAAATGGTCTTCTGAACCAGTAAATGTCGGACTCCATTAATATAAAATATAAGAAGCATGGTTGATAAAACACATATGTCCACAGAATCCATACACTTAGCATGAAACGATCTAAACAAATACGTATTATAGTAGCGAATATAATTATTTCAGTGAAAACAGTATACAATTTTTATTTGTAAATCACACGAATATCATACAAAAGAACAACTAATAAAATATTACTTATTAGATACTGCGTAAACATTATTACACACACAAAAGTATATACAACAAACAAAGTTTATGTACAAAATACCTTATAGAAACATTTTCCTAAATATTTGCACCTATGTATGCTTTATAACTAATACTCAACATAATTAATTTTGGGTACAATTCATGTTATGTTTAATGCCTTATTTCCTAATTGAGATAATCCATTTCCTATTATTTACTATACACAGGTACATTTGATAATGAGAATTACCATATGTTTTTTAAATTCTTAACTTTAAAATTTAGTGTGCATCTAGCTTCGTTACAAACATTCTACTTGTAGAGTCAAAGGTACTAGTTACAAGATATCATGAACGTATGTGTGTGAGCTGGATATAAGGTCATCTTTGATAGCATTCTATTTTCTAAGTATTGTCAAATTTAATCTATAGTCAAAATCATGAAAGATGACGATTACGTCATACCACAAATTGTACTGAAGTAATCAATGGACGTACATCGATGATAAAATCACGATGTCAGGAACATAATGACAACAAATTTATATTATGATTTTGCGAAATTAGGTTATTTCACTGATTATTTTTATTTTCATTTTATTTCATGGTTTTGAGTGATACCTTAATAATAATTTTAGTGGGGAGTTAGTCTTTGTTTTGAAAAAAAACAGATATGAGTCGAACACCTTAAGACAGGACCACCAAAGACCAAAGTATTATTCGAAAACAACCTAACCTGCTTTAACATAACCTAACTATCCATCTTTCAAATATGATTGATCATGCAACATGAAAACATCGTCTATCTTTCTCGGTTACATGCAAATTAGCAACACAATTTGCTTAGACAATAAAAGTCTGTTTGTCTCTGTCTAACATATCTGAAACTTCAATAAAAATATTTACAGATCGCTACAGACTAAAATGATGACGTAATCGTCATCTTTCGTGATTTCTACTATCTAGCCTGTTTCGGACAACTTCTTAATTCAGGGTGTAAATTAATTAATGGCTAAAAATACAGAATATGATTCCTTAGCTCATTTTAGAAAGAAAAGTTTATATGAACATATGTCCTGAACCTTTTAAATTTCGAGCTACAGGGTGTTGGGATTTTAAGAAAAAATTCGTTTTCTTATCATAACTATGATACTGTTCTAGATATTCTCACGAAATTTGACATTGACTTACTAAGCACCAATTGGCATTTTTTGGTGTAGAATATTTTTTAATATTTCTTCCAGTGGCGTACGGACGATATTGGATACTTTCAAAAAAACAGATGCTACGCTGTTGCTTTTTTTTTTCAGCAATTCATGAGACAGAGAATCGAAACCTGTATCCGAGCAGAAGGTAGACATTTTCAACAATTCCTATGATAATTAAATAGCAATAGTTTATTTGATCCACAGAAATTGTCGAAATTTGTTGCAAACTTGTTTTTTAATTTACATGCATTGGAAAATCGCATGTGGTAGTTTGAAGGCTAAATGTGTTTTTGTTTAATTTTTTTCCAAGTAGTCAGTTGATTAAAATAGCCAAAATGGTTTTTATTGTTTACGCAGAATAGGTGCATCAGTCGGAAAAAAGTCAATAGGTCAAATTTGTTGCAAAATAAATGAGCATTCCAAAAATATTTTTGGAAAAAGCAATGGCGTACCATATTTTTTTTGAAAAATGCCCAGTTACATCCTGTACGGACGTCACTGGTAGGAATATTGAAAACTATTCTACATCAAAAAATACCTATTGATGCTTAGTAGGTACATGTGAAATTTCCTGATAATATCTAGAATAGTATTAAAGTTATAAGAAAAAGATTTTCTTCTTAAAACTTTAACATCATGTAGAGCTCAAAGTTAAGAGGTATATGATATATGTTCATATAAACCTTTCTTCCTAAAATGAGCTCAATAATCATAACCTGTATTTTGAGCAATCAATTAATTTACTCCCTGTGTACAGGGTGTTAGGGACATAGTATTCGTAACTTTAAGAGGTGACTCCTTGCATTATTCTAAGCAAAAAAAATATGATAACTTATATCCGAAAATCAATCGTTTTCGAGAAAAGTGAGTCGTAAATAATAAAATTTTCTCAAACATTTGGCAACGCTGCATCGCAACCGCGATCGAGTTGTTTACATTTGTATGATATTTGTGTCGAAAATATGCCTTGAATTTTATTGAATACCTTTACACAATTGTTTGTGGCTAATATCTTTTATTTAATAACGCTTTCAGTACAGTACATTCACTTAAAAAAAAATGACAGAACTTACCGGTACGTGGCGATACACATCACCAATTCACGATGCACGAATAAAGAAAAAACAAACATCCGTAAATCACATAAAGTTACAGTTAAATGTATTAGTAATCACAACAACACGCGATGATACCTGCAGTGTAGGCGAAGTACGACGTTGCCAGTTGTGTGAGGGATTCCGTTTGTCTTATTTTCTTTGGAAAAATGTATTTAATAAGCAAGAAAATTATATTTTTAGAGACAGTTAATTAATAAATATATATATTGATACATTTTACGTTATTAGGGATATGAATTTAATTTATTAAGGTGCAAAATTAATTTAATTCATGACTCAAAGGAAATAAATTCAGCATTTTCGGAAACAGGTTATAATGAACTTTTTTGCTTAGAATAATGCAAGGAATCACCTCTTAAGGTTTCCCTAACACCCCGTATAATGTATATCGATTACCGTATCGACTCTTTTTCGTTAGTTTCTATGTCAAAAGTCAATGTTTTCTCGATTATTCATGTACTTATTAGTCACATAGAAATAAAAAATGATATCTGATCTTACGTTTATCGACTGGTGTGGACATGACAATAAATTGTCTCTTGAACTTTTCAATGTTTGTGCATACATATCTTTCGGGTTAGATACAGACATGTCAATATTTCGCTGCCTGTTGCTTATGATATCAAAATAGCAAAAATATTGCTTTACAGTTTTGTATTTCGTTGTCGAGCCAGACGACGATCATTTGTCGGTCGCATTTGGATTCGTGTAGCTGAAACCTTGGAATTGCGTCTGATCGATGGATTCCAGAATTGTGCCGTCTATCGGAGTCAACTTGGCCTTTTCTACTGTGAAATGCTTGTCGAAGTATTGCGTGTCCAACGGATGTTGCTAAAAGACAAAAAAAAAGTATCAAGTCAATGTACAGTATCGTGCAAAAGTAGAGAAATAAACCATTACAAATAAAAATCCAGAAAGATTTACTCTAGTCCAAAACTGTACACTAAAGTTTTTTATGAATGACTACCTCAAGATAAAGAAATGTTTATCTTTGTATACATTCTTTTTTTTTTCAATATAATATGGTCGGTTTTTTGTCGAGCAAAAGTAGAGAAACATTTTGTAAATATTTAGTTTATATTTAGTCGTTGATTAGAATATGTAGGTGTTATGTTTTAGTGTATTTGGTAAAGTGTAGTTAAAAAACATGGCCAGAGAAATTACATTGAATTTGCAAATAAAAGAATTGACTATTTTAAAATATCGATCAGGCATTAAACAAGCAACCATAGCCAAACAGCTGAATTTAAGTCAATCGGTAATTTGCAAAACTATTAAGCTGTTCGAAGACGTTCAGAAAGTGGTTTACCAGAAAGGAGACCATCTAAAAAACCCTTTATTTCCAACAAAAATCGGACTGCCCGTCTTCAATTTGCTTACGATCATTTGAACTGGTCAGAAACAAGGTGGAATTCTGTATTATTTTCTGATGAAAGTAAATTTAATTTATTTTCATCGGATGGCATTTAATGGGTAAGACATCCTGAAAACAAGCGATTTGATCCTAAGTTCACTTTGGGCCCAATCAAACACGGATGCGGGAAGGTTTAAGTATGGGGTTGCTTCTGTGGCTTTCAAATGATACCCATCGTCAAAATTGAAGGAATTATGGACCGGTACAGATACTTGGAAATGTTAACTGATACCATGCTACCTTGCGCAGAAGAAAACATGCCTCTACGCTGACGACCCCAAGCACATAGCGCAATTAATAAAAACATTTTTTGCAGATCACAATATTAATTTCATTAAGTGGCCAGCTCAGAGTCCAGACCTTAACCCCATAGAGAATCTATGGGATTTAGTTGATACAAAAATTCGGACTGAACATCCAGAAAAGTTCATAGTGCCGAATTATTTGAAACAATCGAAGTCGCCTGGAATTCTATTCCAAAGGAAACAATAGATAGCCTAATTGGTTCAATGAGAAAAAGATGTCTAGCAGTTATCAAAAATAAAGGTTATGCAACCAAGTATTAGCTACTTTGTATACGACAATTGCTTTGTATATTATGTTTCTCCATTTCTGCTCGCTGTATTTTCTACTAATAATTGTTAGCATAGTTTTATCAAAGCAGAAATTTTATTTTCATGTTGGCTTTGAATTACATGTGACATTAAGTTATAATAAAAGATAAGTGTTTGGTTTACTTTAGTAGTGTAATAAAATCTTTAAAAAAATAAAATGTTTCTCCATTTTTGCTGGGTACTGTATATTTACGAATTTGCGTATGTCCAAAAATATCAATAGAAACTTTAGAACGTTTAAACTGAGAAGCGTAGAAAAAGTAATTAGTGATTGAAGACAAAACAAAAATATGGTGTCAAGATTGACTCTTTACTTCCTACGTCTTCGATGGAGGTTTCAGAGAAAAGGATTGAGGCAAGCCGTTTTAAAAAGCGGAATCGCATCGTGATTAGGTAGGTTCTAATAAACATGTGTGACTCATTATGTCTAACAGGTGAATAATATTACCGAGATTAGCAGCTTATAAATAATACAAGATCTATCACTTCAATCATGGGTCACAATTGTGAGCAAATTTTCCCGTTGTTACCGGGATCAGAAGCTTTTCAGTGATCGAACGTCTTTGATCGATACTGAAGTCGTAATATTTACCCTACAACATTTTTTCTAAAATGGTCAGGAGCTTCTGAAATATTTAAAAACGAAGTTCGAGCAATCCTTTTTTATTTTTTCGCCGTCGTCATGGGATTGATTTTCAAAAACTACAGAGCATTTTTGTCTTTGGTCCAATAGTAACCTTATGTACAAATTTCATCGAAATTCGAGCGGTGCTCCTCAAGTTATACTCAGTTATAGCACTAAAAGACAGACAGACCGATGGAAATTAGTGACAGTTTCTTTGTGATGTTCATGTCACATACCATCCAAAAAACATACTGACTTATTTTCGGAATTTTTCGCGATTGAAATACTTCCTTGTCCAAAGCAAGTAAAAATGAGGTTGAATCATAAAATCTGGTCAATTTTTAAACTCTGAGGATGTCGATTCAAAATTAATTCTTACCAGGTTTGGTTTGAACGGAGGCTCCAGTTGTCTCTTTTCCAATGCGTACCAGTCAATCTTCTTGAAGAAATTGTGATCTTGAATATCACCATGTGGACTGAACCTGTTGCCCAATCTTTTACTTGCGTCTTTTTCTAATAACTGAAATTAAAAAATCTCTTTGAAGCATGTTTTAGTCAAGATTGTAACGCAAGCTGTATAGTGCTATCGACAAGTATCAAACAATAATAATAAATTGTCCTTTATTAAAAACAAATTATAAATAAGGTACCCGGGGGTAATACGGCCCACCAGATATTAAGGCCCAACGCTGGTTTGCCCAAAGGAAAGCGCCTAAAATATTTATATCGCCATCTGTTAATAATATTTAGTATTACTGTTGCCGGAAATGTAATTTTGTTCTATGGTTATGAGCTTCCTGGCTTGTTCTATGGTGTCACGTTTCGCTGTGCTGTATTTTATAAGAATTTCGACCGGTAAGTAAGCAAATTAAATTGTTTTAATAATACGTAGATTTTTCATTATGTATGCATGATAATCTATGTATCTGATAGTTTCATTTTACGTAGCGTTTCTTTTTATGTTGGGTTTGTTTGTTGTTTAATAACCTCAAAATTAATTTTATTGTACTACAGGTTATAAGGCCCGGGCCTTATTTTCTACAATGCATTGAAAAAGGCTTGGGCTTTATTTTCTGCCGCCATGAATACACGTATTCATTAGATTTATTTATTCTTTTACAGAAGATGGGTAAAAAAAGCAGAGGAATAAGGGCAAATTGGGATGAAGAGATGATGAGAGAGGCATTAAATTATATTAACGAGGGAAAATCTCAGCGCTGGGTGGAACAAAAATGCGGAATACCCAGACGAACACTTAGGAACCACATTAAATCACAAAGCGTGAAGGGAAAACTAGGTAGACAAACAATTTTGACCGATAATGAAGAGACTGACCTTGAGAATAAAATAATTCGGCTAGCCGATAAAGGTTTTCCGCTAACACCAAAAGCATTAAGAAGGTCTGCGTTCAGGTATGTTGAGCAAAAGAAAATTAAGCATTGTTTCAATCAGGAAACTCGTCTCGCTGGTAGGGAGTGGGTAAGGACTTTTCTGAAAAATCATCCGAGAATATCAAAACGTCGATCTCAATTCATGAATCCAGCAAGAGCCCAAAAATTAAATCGTTTTATCGTAGATCATTTCAAAAAACTAGGAGATTTGTTGGAGCGCACTCAGAAAAAAAATAAAGAAGCAAAAATTTATAATATGGACGAGAAGGGTTGTCGCTTGACTCTTCACCACCAACAAAACGTTCTGGCAGCCACAGGAGCAAAATGAGTGCATGTAATTTCTCATGAACACGCCGAAAACGCAACTATCGTCGCTTGCGCTAATGCTCTCGGACATGCCATACCGCCTGTCATTCTTTTTAAGGGCAAGAGAATGAAGCCAACCTACTCAGATGGCTTACCGGCTGGCTCAAAAGTTATGATGACGCCTAAAGGGAGCATGACGATAGAAACGTTTGATACGTGGTTAGACCATTTCATTGAATACATGTCGCCACCGCGAGTAATTTTAATTTTTGATGGGGCCAAATGCCATTTGGATATTAGCATTGCTGAGAAAGCAGAAGCTCATGAGATTCACTTATATTGTCTGCCGAGTAACACCACCCATGAGCTTCAGCCGATGGACAAAGCTATATTTCGAGCATTTGAAGCTTATTGGGACGATGAATTGTTAAAGTACTGGGATAAACATCCTACACGTGATTTAAACAGGGAAAGATTTTCTGAAGTTTTCACACCTACATGGCAGAAAGCAATGTCCATTGGAAATATTACAAGCGGCTTTCGAGCTACGGGAATATGTCCTTATGATAAGGATGTTCTTCCCATTGAAGCATTTGCCCCAAGTCTTGCAACTGAGAAACCTTACCTGGAGACGACCGCCGCTGCCGATGATTCGGAATATGATTCAGATGACTACCTGCCTTTAGGTGAATTGCGTAAAAAATTAATCCCTTTGAATAATTCCTTCGCGGAAGTGTTACCAACACCAGATCTAGTCAAAAAAAATCTGCTCCAAGACGTAAAGCTATAAATTACAAAGCAGTTGAAGTCAAGCGATCCGTATTTTTAAAGGAGGTGGAGTCTCAACTTGATCCCGTTCCAGTCTTATCGAATACCGCTAAATCGCCATCTGAATCTGTGTCTTCCATTGCATCAAAAACAAAAGAACATAACGAAGAATGGCACTGTGTGATTTGCTACGAAGACTATGTAGCAGATATGAGACGATGTGCTTCTTGTGGTTTTTGGGTCCATGAGGATTGTGCTGGTTTGACTGCGGACGATACTGAAAATTTTTTGTGTCCAGACTGTATGCCTTAAGTATTAGATTTATACTTAATACCATATTTTATCTTTGATACTGTTTTTTTAGTGTGTTACATTTATTTTTTATTCTATCAGTATTTTGTTGAACTGTTATTTTTTTTATCTCTCATTCAAATCTCATTATATGTCGTTGCAGATATTAAGGCCCAAAGGGATATTTTTGATATCTATGTTTGGATATCATTATTTTAATATTTTCTTTTTATTTTTTGATTTTTTTTGTGTTTTGTTTATTCGTTTGACTTGTTTTTTGTTCATTTAAATATGGGCCGTATTATATGCACTTGCAGGCTTTAAGGCCCAGAAGACAATTTTTTTAATGTTCGCGTCTCGACATATAAGCATGATTATTTTGTGTTCAAACATTACCCTGATGTTAGTTTATACCCTTTTCTATTTTTTATAATAATAAAAGTTTGAAAAAGTAAATTTCTCTCGTAGATATTAATTATAATTTCTTAAGTGGGCCTTATTACCCCCGGGTACCTTATTACCTCCAATGAAATTAGTGAGTTTAGCGATAACAGTTGTTATTACTCTAGTCTAATCATATTAGACGAAAATACCCCTGGTTTGCGAAATAATTGTAAAGTCTGGCTTTATTGCTGCAAATTGTTCAAGGGGGTATTTAAAACATCGAAAGTGTTTACAAGAACGAAAAAACTCTTCATGAACGATTTTTATCTATTTATGAGATCTACAGAATGAGACCACACGTAAGAAGATCCGACTAATAGCAAAACAGTTATGGCCGAAAATCGAAGCAAACTGCAGGTTTTGGCACTAACTTGTTGGTAATAGGACGTTGGTTTCTCGCAGATACTTGAAATTCTTCAAATTCGTAGGATTCGTACTTCTAAATAACCACAACAAAATTGGAGTAGATTGGTTCAGTAGTTTTTGAGAATTTCTAATTATTCATTCGAAAACATCTACTACAGGGTGCGCCATCTTTTATGTCGATATGTAAACATGAAATAACTTTGAAAACGAAAAACTGATTCTATATATCGGGTATTTTTATTAAATATGGTCCATTACAATTTACTGCGTCTAGTTTTTGAACACAACATCTATCAAGGGGTCACCTTTATTGGCCAAAGCAAAATGTGCCCGTTTTGCTGCGTTTTCCATTACTTTTTCGGGCATCTCTGGTACTATAGCGGCGATTGCACTACGAATTTTTGCCTTGAGTTCTTCAGTGGTCTGGGGCTTGCTGGAGTACACTTTACTTTTCAAATAACCCCACAAGAAGAAGTGCGGTGGGGTCAAATCTGGAGACCTGGGTGGCCAGTCAATGTCACCTCTCTTTGACATCAGTCGTCCAGGGAATTTTCGTTGCAGAAATTGGATTGCTTCATTTGCAGTGTGGCATGGCGCACCGTCTTGCTGAAACCAGTAAACATCAAGACCTTTTTCACGCATTTGTGGGCAGACATAATGAGTCAACATCCACCGATATCGATTTCCATCGACTGATTCGTTTTCGTTGAAGAAAAATGGCCCAATGATGGTTTTGGCGCAAACGCCGGCCAAAACAGTCACTTTCCGGTCATGCAACGGCATTTCGTGGATCTCATGTGGATTTTCCGTCCCCCAAATGCGGCAGTTTTGCTTATTAACGCCGCCAGAGAGCGCGAAATGGGCCTCGTCGGTCATCGCAATTTGCTTCCAAAAATCAGGTTCAGCGTCAACCATGCGAGCGACTGTTTGGGGGTATTCCAAGCGACGTGGGTTCAGTTGCCAATATTTTTTGTGTTAACTGCACCACATAAGGAAACAAATGCAAATCATCCTTCAAAATGTCCCGCAACGTGGTTTCACTGATGCCAAAATGCTGAGCGCGGTGACGATACGACACTTTTGGGTTCTGGACAACGCTGCCTCTGACCGCTTCAACCAATTCATTGGAACATCTTCGCCGTTGATGAACGGTACGTTGACGATCTCCTACTGTCCCGTACTCAAGAAAATTCGAAACCAAACGACGGATAGTGTTGTCAGACGGTTTGCCACGATATTTTCGACAATATGTACGTTGAGTTAACACAACTGAACGACGATTTTCAATGTACATTGTGACTATTTCGGCGCGTTGTTTTAGTGTAAAGCGATTCATGACTAAAATTGTAGTAGAGTGACGTTTCAGAAACACGTATAACCAAATCACTCGGTTGGTAGATATCAAAGTCAATCGATGTTTCAATACCGACATAAAAGATGGGCGCACCCGGTAGTTTATTGAGCAATATACAGGGTTAGTTCAAATGGTATTTCATAGCAAAATACACTATTAATGGTATGGTACGTTGATCTTGAAATCGCGCTTCCGATCAACAACTTAGCTAACGTCAGAAGCTGACTTTAACTTAGGTCAGAAAATCAGTTTGTGAGCAACTAAAGTGTATCTAACGAAGCTACAAAGTAATCGTAAACAGTGGTTGATTCGTGATCAACGCGTGATCGGTAGCCATGGCGCTTCCTGATTGGCTTGTAGCGACGAGCCTCCAGACAAAGTCGCACGGTTGCCACGCTCGGCGAGTTTTCGCCAGAGTGGTTGATCACATTCGCATGGATCACAAATCAATCTGTTGGTGCAATACGTGCAATAACTGTTGTAAAGGACATTATATAACAATAAATGGCATCACAAAGGTATATTCCAATTTGATCTGCAGCAAATTATGAACGGCATATACGGAGATGCGAAAACAAGCTCAAAAAGGTGAAGAAAATTTTTGTGCAATCTTTATAGTTAAATTTTTCCTAAGAGATAGCATCAGTGAGGGAATTTTTTTCTATTGTCTTATTTTTCACATTAATGCGATGTCGAGGTATGTGGCCCTATCGCAATTGAAAATAAGGTTTCGATAATCCTTCCATAAAGTTTCGATGAGTACATCTGAAATAACCTTGAGATATTCTTCAGGGAAATACAAAAATCTCCTTTTGTGTTTTTTTGTGCAGATTTATCTATTAAAATCCTATCCGCAATCTATTTTCCGTGCACACACCTTCAACCGACGTATGTATGCCATACATGATATAACCGTTTCCAACTTTCACCAAGGTTAATAGGAACCATAACAGCTCCCTACCCTTCCCCCCTATAAGAATATCGATTTGTAGCCTCACATTTCAATTTTAGACTTCTTGTAATGTTTCTGTTCAACATTCGGCGATTTCTGACAATTTTCCCAATAAAACATGAACATTGTGACATTAAGCCTGGCAACGCTGCATAGTAGCGTCACGTTGATGGTTCGTCACAACGCACAGGATTGTAATCAGTTACGGATACCCGTTTATGAGCGCGAACGTTTTATGCATGTCTTGACTTGATTTTTCTTGCGGAAATTTAATATTAGTCTAAAATGTCTGACACAGATACAGCTGATGAAGTGGTTGAAATCAGCTCAACGCCACCCAGCAAAAGGGCTAAAAAGCTTCATCTTAGCGCAGGTGAAAAACAAATTATTCTAAATATCTACAAGAACCAGATGCAAGAGAATAGTGGATTGGCTATAGAAAATATCGTATGTAAGGTTGCTGAAATTTCTGGAGTAGGTCGATCAAGTGTTTACAAAATCTTGAAGGAATATAGACAAAATCACTCACTATCTGAGCCAAAAACATATCCAGCGAGAAAAAAAATCATCGAAAAAATAGATGACTTTGACAAAAGTGCCATTAGAAGAAAAGTACATCACTTTTTCTTCAGGAATGAAATACCTACAATAGATAAAATATTGAAGCAAGTGAATGATGATGAGGACCTGCCAAATTTTAAAAGATCTACGTTCTATAAGCTGTTGAAAGAACTAGACTTTCGATTTTTGAAAAGAGGAAGGAATAGTTTATTGATAGAAAAGGAGGAAATTGTTATCTGGAGGAGAGAATACCTTAGAAAAATTAGGCAATTCCGCGCTGAAGGAAGAAAAATTTATTATTTAGACGAAACATGGGTGAACGCGGGGCATACGCAGGGAAAGGTTTGGGTAGACAGATCTGTGAGGTCCTCAAGGCAGGCTTTTTTAGATGGCCTTTCGACGGGATTGAAAAATCCTGCAGGTAAGTTTCGAAGTATATGAACTTTTTTGGATGCAGATAATTCATTTTCTGATCGAATCAATGATTTGGAAGCTCCGAACTCAGTTTTGCTATCTCATCCAAGTTTCTGAGTATTTCCTTCACCCAAAAACTAATCTAAGACCCTATCCTACACTAACCTAAAAAGAGTAAGTTGCTTAATTTCGTCATTTAGTGCGCTCGCCGAGAAGTAAAATAACTAAATACTTTCAGGCAAGGGAAAACGCCTGATCATTTGCCACATAGGTAGCGTAGATGGATTTGTTCCTGATGCATTGTGGGCATTTGAATCCAAAAAAACTGGAGACTATCACGAAGAAATGGATGGTAACTCATTTGAAAATTGGTTCAAAAAAATATTGCCGACACTTGATGATAACGCAATTATTGTGATGGATAATGCCCCGTACCACTCCAGAAAATTGGAAAAAATTCCAACAATGGCCACCAAAAAGGCAGACATTCAACAGTGGCTTGTCTCAAAGAAAATCGACTTCGACCAAACAATGGTCAAAGCTGAGCTGATAAATATAGTCAAGCGACATAAGTATAAATATGATTTAAAAATTGTTGACGAAATGGCCAAAAACCAAAATAAAACGATTCTCAGGCTGCCTCCCTATCACTGCGAACTGAACCTATCGAGTTGATTTGGGCCGACATCAAGCAATACGTGGCGTCAAATAACAGCACTTTTAAGTTTTCTGACCTTAAAAAACTGTTTGATGTTGCTGTCGATAGAATTACGCCAGCAAAATGGAGAACATGTATTGACCATGTCCAAGAGAAGGTTGAAACCAAAATGTGGGATATGGACAATATCATTGACACCCAAGTTGAACCCCTTATAATTGACATCAACAATTCTGATGATTCAAGCTCCTCGGAATACAGCATATAAATCGATTGATACCATTAAGACTGGCAGTTTAACGGGCTTTTTGGCAAGACAGGTAAGTTCATTATAGACTGCAATCAAAGTGTAAGTTTCTAGTTATTAATGTGGAAATTTCAAATTTATAATTACACAAAATTAGGGTTAATTTAGGAGTTCCAAAGCATAATAGTGCCATTTTGACCTTCTTCCTATTTCTCATGTAAATTTTAATAGCAATCAAACTAACAAACTTTATGGAGTCTGTAATAAACTTTTGTACTACTACTACTACGTCTGTAGTTTCTATTTGCTCAAAAAAATTTGCTCTGCATTGTGAATAGAAGGTTGATTTGTAAATATTATTGGGTATATATGTAAGTTAATAATAAAATATGAACAATTTCAATTGAGATGGTCCACAAGTTTTTTTCGTGTGCGTTTTAGTAACATTTTGCTGAATTGGTGAATACAGAATTTTTTGCACTGATTCCTAATGTCGAAATATGATTAGAAAGGCGTGGTATATTCCTGATAATTTACTATGCTTTTGATAGAATTTACAGCAACACATATCTTGTACGACATTTTTTGATAGATCAGTCACAATAGCTTGATACGGCCCTGTAGCGTCTCCTACGGTTAAGTTCTTGATCACGTGCAATACGGGTGTATATGTTTGATTTTACTTTGTTTCTTCGATGGATACAGTTTAGCTTGCGTTGCCGATATGAATCACAAACCGTTCCGGAAGATAAATGTTATTTTTATGGAAAAAAGAATGGGTTACGTTTTTTCTTCTAAACAAATTCAAACATTTCGTATTTGTGAGTAATTCGTAACAGAAGATAATAGACACATGCGCTTTGTTTTAAAATGTGTACAGTAACGTATGTTTTTCGAATATCCTAGCGAATTTGTTCAATTACTCACAAATATGAAATGTTTGAATTTGTTTAGAAGAAAAAAAACGTAACCTTTGTTTTTCGCATAAAAATAACAATTATCTTCTGAAATGGATTGAGATTCATATCGGCAAGGTAAACACGTGTATTTTGCTATTAAATGCTGTTTGAACGAAACCTTTATATTGCTCAAGAAACTAGTAGCGATGGCCGGAAAACTTGGTGTTTTGGGATAAACAATTAGATATTCTCAAAAAACTACTTGATCCAACTTTGTTGTTGTTATTTAGAAGTATGAATCCTACGGATTTGAAGAATGTCAAGTAGTTGCGTGAAATTATCGTCGCATTAGCAACAATTGCCAAAACCTGCATTTTGCCTCGTTTTTCGGCCATAACAGTTTTGCTATTAGTCGCATCTCTTTACGTGTGGTCTCATAAATACCTTAAAATGTTACATGAAAAAAAAAAACACGTATTCGTATTCGTTGTTGTCAAATAAAAAGTTAGCCCACAAAAATTGGTGTACCCATTTTATGCGTCCGTGTTTTGAATACCCCCTTGAACAACTCGCACCAACAAAATCAGACTTTACAATTATTTCGGGGAAATTTGCTAATATGATTGGATTACTCATAATCATTTACTGCATATAAATATTAGACGGTAGAAAAGTACAGCTGTACTACACTGAAAGGAGGAAAATGCACAAGAAACTGATCACAATCTATTAAAGGGTAAAGAATTTTCTTAAATTAAATATGAAACGTATGCAATTCTTTTCTGCAATATATTCTGTTACGACTCGCAATAAGCTAGATCGCGATAATTAAAAATTGATAACACAAACATTTCACACTTTTTTCGCACTTCAAAATTTAGCAACTTTCTGTTCGTCTACAACAGAGTTCCCGAAACTTTTTTGTGTCGTAGACCCCTTGCCATGTTTTTCCGTGTTGGGTAGACCCCCTACTTACGTAATATAAATTTCCTGTAAATTTCTAACTGTAGTGAAGTTTAGTGTTAAAAACTTAAAGTAAAAAACACATGTTAATTTATACATTTATTAATTGAATTTAAATTAAAACTACTCAAAATAAAATTTTGTATCTGTTATGTAAAATATACGTAACATTTAATAAACAGGTGTCTGACCGATAAGAGCCCGCATTGGGAATAAGTGCCCCCATTGAAAAAAAATAAGAGGGATAAAATAAAAAAAAAGTGAAAAATAATAAAAAAAAAAGTTTTTTATTTAAAATAGTACAATAAGCGAGTTCGTTTAATAATTATAACATAAACGTATGTTCTACAATAGTTTCACTGTTAGTTTGATTAAATTCCGCTTCTTATACGTTTAAGTTATCTAAAAATACGCAAAAAATTAACGAATTTTAGTGTGTACCTATCCTTGAATTTTCAGAATAATTTAAAAAAAAATATTTTCTATAGGTGTGTTCTTTAAAAAAATCAATGCGGGCACTTATTCCCAATGCGGGCATTTATTCGTCAGACACCAATAAACATAAAATAAACTATAAATAAAATAACATAAGCAATAAGTCAATATTTTTAGTGAGAAGGATGAACCTGATGCTTTAATAACAAATTATCAACATTTGGCGTCAATTTTGTAAGGGTTAATCTTAAATCTCCTCGGCTAATGATGTCCAGTCTGTTTCTGTTTTTCGTTAGGAGATTGGTAACAGCGCTGAACCCCCTTTCCACTAGGTATGACGATGGAAAGGAAATTAAAAATTTCATCGCTATATTCCATAATACGGGATAAGTAACGGGTATGTTGTTTTGAAGCAAGAATTGCTGATATCCGTTTTTAAACTGAACCTTAAGTTCTTTGTTTGTACTTAGTTCAGTCAGTTCCTCTTGTAATATGACATTCGTTTCTTCTGTGTCACCATATGGATTAATTATCCACGGTGGTATTACCATAGTCAAAATATCCTCAAACCTAGACTCAAAATCTGAATAGAGGGCATTTAAATGTTGAACGTAAGTTGAAACGTCGTCTTCCTGGCAGCTTGTCTGTGACAAATTGGGAAACTGAGAAAATTCGCCCCGTCCAATATTTTGCTTCATTAGTTTAACTCTAGCAAGAAACACTGATAACATGGACTTTGTTTTAATCAAATTTAAACTGTCGCCTTATAATTGCAAATTAACCATATTAAATTTTGTAAACAAATCTGTTAAATAGGCGATGTATGTTTTCCTCTTCATTAAATTTTCTTTTAAAATTTTATCTTTAGTATCCAGAAATTCTAAAATAGTCTCAAAAACTGCAAAAAATCTTGTCAAACATAAGCCTTTCGCCATCCAGCGTACTTCAGTGTGAAGGAGTAACTGATGAAAGTGTTCGTCATTTTCTTCACACAACTGCGCAAATAACCGCGTATTCAACGCGTTGCTTCGGATTCGGTTTACTGCATCAATGACTAAATGAAGTTATTCATGCAATCTAACAATCAAATTTTTAGCAACTAAATGTTGTTGATGGATGACGCATTGTATTGCTAACACCCCTGACACATTTTGTTTTAAATAGCTTATAAATCTACGATAACGTCCAACCATGGCAGGTGCTCCATCTGTAGCTACTGATATTATATTTGATAAAGGAATTGCTTTTTCAATGAAATATTGATTCACCTTTAGTGTCGGTTATCAAAGTTCTTGCGAAGAGCAGTTCTTCTTAGATTTCTTGATTCATAATAAAACGAACATATGCCAATAATAATGCTGCATTATCAGGTAAAGTTGACTCGTCCAGTTGTATAAAGAAATGGGTCGTTTGCAAATAATTACATAAGAAGCTTTCATTATCAGAACTCATTTCATCAATACATATTGTTGCTTAAGGGAATTCTTTTAATGATATGTGTAAAACAGTTTTTAAAACCTCTTCAAGGGCTGGCAAAATTAACTTCTCTCCGATAGTATGCGGTTTTCCGGATTTTGCTATAACTAACGAGATATTGTAAGACGCCCGCAAACCATCATCATTTCTTTGTGACGTCGAAGCGAACATTCTGTCCAGTGTAGGTCTCTTCTGAAATTTATCTTTGAGTGTTTGAAAGTATTTCAAATCTTTCTCTGTTTTATCAGGGTGGCATCTTCTCAGAAGATCTTGCAGTTTAGATGGTTTCATAGCGTCATTGCCCAAAACTTTGTTGCATAAAAGGCACATAGGCGATTGTTTGTCCGGCAATGATGGAATGAAGCCAAATTTCAAATAATCAACACTGTACTGTCTACATTTCTTTTTAGATTCGGACATGGCATCAGTCATCTGTGGGCAAAATTAAATCATTTAAATAAAACATAAAATCCAGCAGCTGTATATTAAAAATATTTTTTGATTTTTCCGAAAACATTCCATACTTCAAACATCTTCTTGCAACAATTAGCTCGAATTACGGAGATTGCACTGTAATTATATTACCGATTGCTAAAACTTTCAAAAAGAAACTATTGAGGAGTACTCGTGTAATTTTGCATGATTGAATATTTAACTACTAATAACTAAGTCATGATTGGCATAATTTATTTATCTTTGCTAACTACGAGTACAAAACTAAAATTTAATAAAAAATAATGTACTTACTTTTCTCCAGCACTCTCAAACAAAATAACACTGAATCACTATAATTTGTGTGACATACTATCTGTTTATATTTTTTAAAATATTTTCTTAGCACTTTCCTTTTCAAGATTCAGGAAACGAATAAACGTATTTGTCCCACATTCGTATCTATAGATTGACGAATTGAACAAGTCAGTGCAAGGTAGCAAAGCTCTGAGACTGCGACCCTCAGGGTTTTACAAGTTCAAAATGGATTGCGACCACAAAGCGAATACCAACATCTTACAACTTACACAATTTTATAAACATATATAATAAATTTTTTACTTCATAGGTACTTTTATAAATAATGTATATGTTTGATATTATAAGATAGTATGATGTAAGTAAATAGGCACTATCAGTGCATGTGTTGAAATCCACTATCGTGGACCCCCAAATTTTTTTTCGCTGACGTAGACCCCTTGCAGGTTGTCACAGACCCCTAGGGGTCGATATAGACCACTTTGGGAATCAATGGTCTACAAGGTGCTTAGACGGATATAAATGATTTGTAAAAGGTTATTCAAATGTTCACGAAGCCGTGTATTTCCATCGATTAACACACCTAGACACTTGACACTTTGAGAAAAAGGAAGATTCTGATTATTAATACATATGCTTAAAGAATCTTTGATTACATCTCTTCCGTGATTTGGACAAAACAACACAGCAGAAGACTTAGAAGCAATAATGATTAGGTCGTTTCTGGCCCAGTAGGTACAAATAGAGTCAATGTCCTAATTAATTTCCATAGTTGCATCCACGAGGTCATCAGGGTAAAAGAAGTAAAGCCGTTGAGTGTCATCCGCATAGCTGTGAATTTCGATTAGACTTAGCAGTATCGGCTGCATAAATTTAAAATACCAAAGGGCCCAAAATTGATTCCTGAGGCACACCAGAAGTAGTAAAGTGCTCAAAACTCCAGAAACTGAGATGCGTTAAGACCCGGCAAGTTAGGCATAATTTGAAAAACTGCATTGCTATTTTATCAGAACCATAAAATTTCAGACAGTGATTAATTCTATTACAGGGCTCGGAGCAATCCAATGAGACCAAGGTGACATACATTTATGGTACTTTCATCTTGTTATCCTTCTTACCTGCGAAAGGATTTCTTTAGAGTAAGTTGAGAAGTACTTCGGCATTACTGGTTTCTCATTGCAAATTGACCAGAACAGCTCATCTTCGTCACAGCCGCTGAACGGTGAAGTACCGGAAAGCATCTCGTATAGCAAGACTCCAAATGACCACCAGTCCACGCATTGGTTGTAGTGCTGTCCTTTGATAATCTGCAAAAAAAGGTTGAATTGAAAATACACAGTGACAAAGAACATAATGGGTGATTTTTTTGCTAGTATCTTTTTGCCAACACTGTTTTTGACAGGTGACGCGTGAATCGTGTCTTGTGTCATTGTCAAACTTGTTCAGTTTGGTCTATAATTTAACTATGAATCGACTTACGAACGAACAACGCATGCAAGTTATTGAATTTTACTATCAAACTTCATGCTCGGTTAAGAGAGTGCATCGAGCACTGCTTCCAATTTATGGGCAATTTGGTCGGCCTACTGAGGGAGCTATTCGGAAGCTGGTGACTAAATTTCGAACCCAGTTTATATTATTGGACATTAAACAACCAACACGCAGACGTAGAGCGAGGACTGAAGAAAATATTGTGGCTGTATCCGCCAGTGTTAGTGATGACCGTGAAATGTCGATTCGCCGCCGTTCGCAGCAATTGGGCCTCTGTAACTCCAGTATGTGGAAACTTTTGTGACAGGATTTGGGTGTAAAACCTTATAAGATACAGCTGGTGTAAGAATTGAAGCCACACGGCCTCCCACAACGTTTCCAATTTGGTGAATGGGCGCTGGTAAAATTGGAGGAAGATCCACATTTTTATCGAAAAATTGTGTTCAGCGACGAAGCTCATTTCTGGTTGAATGGGTACGTTAACAAGCAAAATTGCCGCATCTGGAGTGAAGACCAGCCAGAAGCATTGCAAGAGCTACCAATGCATCCCGAAAAAATCACTGTTTGGTGTGGATTATGGGCCGGTGGCATCATCGGGCCGTACTGCTTCAAAGACGACAATGGCCGGAACGTAACTGTGAATGGCGAGCGCTACCGTGCGATGATAACAAACTTTTTTTTGCCCAAAAAAGAGAGCTGGACGTGGCTGACATGTGGTTTCAACAAGACGGTGCCACATGCCACACCGCACACGAAACAATGGCCCTATTGAGAGGCGAGTTCGGTCTACAGTTTATCTCACGTTTGGGGCCCGTCAATTGGCCGCCTAGATCGTGTGATTTAACGCCGTTGGACTATTTCTTGTGGGGCCATGTTAAGGCTAATGTCTACAGGGATAAACCAGCAACGATTGACGCACTGGAAGCCAATATTGAAGCATTTATTCGTGAGATACCGGCCGATATGTTGGAGAGAGTGTGCCAAAATTGGACCTTGCGCATGGGCCAGCTAAAGCGGAGCCGCGGCCAACATTTACATGAAATAATCTTTAAAAATTAAATTATATCGACCGTTCTATCGACTCAAATAAAGATTTAATCGTTTTTTCAAATTTTTTGTTTTTTTTTTGAAAATCAAATCCTATACCTCTTAAAAAATCACCCGTTAGAACCCCCCAGTAAATTTCTTTATAGAATGAAATTTTATATAGGGAGTCCCATTATTCCGTGGTCATACACGTACCACGTATCTTTAGAGTCAAAATAAGTTGACTAAACATGATTCACCTTTATGCAAAAGCGCTTCGTCTATCCGTTACAGGGCGTTGAAGTTTTCTTTTTGATAATAATAACAATAATAATAGCATTTGTTGCCCATCAGAATTATTATAATTCCGTCGAGCCGACTGATAACATTTTCTCCGATTTTATATTATATACTAAGTGACATATAAATCCGAACACCCAGTTTAAATGGTCTTATTTTAATAAAAGTTGGTGAATGTATTTATCTTACTGTAAATAACAAGTGAAAAAATGTTCAGCCTTATCAGTTGGACATTCCGGTTTTTATAGTGCTTTTTTTTAATTCACTAATGCTCTAAAAATGAATATTTCAGCCGCAGTAAAGAATCAAGGTTGGCGGATTTTGGTTCTTGACATCCTTTCGTCAACTTAGTGAGTTTGATAGGGGCCGTATAGTGGGACTTCGGGAAGCTGGACTTTCTTTTCGGGCAATTGCAGTTAGAGTGTAAAGAAGTGTAGACACTGTGGTTAGGTGTTGTCAGGCATGGCTTCGAGAAGGCCGTACGCAAAGAGCAAGGGGTACTGGACGCCGCCGTAGAACAACAGACCGTGAAGATCGCCGCCTAAGATTATTGGCCTTAAGGGACCGTTTCTCCACTACCAGGCCCATTGCAAATGAATGGTTTGCAGAACACGGAAGACCTATTGGCATGCGAAGTGTTTACCGACGAATGAGAAGTTTTGGCTTGTTTTCATACCGGCCACACTGGGTCCTCCCTTTAACTCGAGAACACCGACGTAATCGCCTTGAGTGGTGCAGACAACGGTCACTCTGGGATCAGGAATGGAACAGTATTGTCTTTAGTGACGAGTCTCGATTTTGTTTAGGCATGCACGATGGTCGTGTCAGGGTTAGAAGGCGACGTGGTGAAAGGAGGAATCCACAGTTTTTTGTTGATAGACATGTTCATCACACTGTTGGAGTTATGGTTTGGGGTGCTATAGCTTATGGTTCCAGGTCACCTTTAATCTTCATCAGAGGTAACATGAACGCGCAGCGTTATATCCACGAAGTTCTAGAACCCCATCTTTTACCCTATCTTGACACCCTGGCAGATCCAACTTTCCAACAAAATAATGCCCGACCACATGTTGCAACACTCACAATAGACTTCTTTCAACATAATGATGTCACATTGTTACCATGGCCACCAAGATCTCCCGACTTATCCCCAATTGAGCACGTGTGGGATATGATGGGTAGGAGATTGCTCAATTTGCAACGTCCTCCTCAGACTCTAGAAGCACTTCGAGAGGAGTTGATGGTTGCCTGGAATGAGATACCACAGGAGGACATTGACCACCTGATCACAAGCATGCCTAGGCGTGTTGGAGAATGCGTAGCACATCAGGGTGCATCCACACATTATTAAAGGTCAAAGGGTTTTAAAGCAGTGCAATCATTTTGAAATTTTTATCATTTACTTATTATGCTTCATTAAGTACTTATACAAAATTTTATTAAAATTAAACCATTTAAACTGGGTGTTCGGATTTATATGTCACTTAGTATATATTACTATTTGTTATTTTCGACAGAATGTAACCACTTTGCATTTAGCGATATTTAGATGCAGTTTATTCAATCGATACCAATCTTCCAGTTTAGATGATTGACACTGTAAGTACTCACAATCAGCGATGCTGTTGATCTCTCTATTCGTCATTATCCGTCGGAGCGGTCCGTGGGACCTTCGCTCTTTGTTAAAGTATCGTAGATTAGTAGGTCTGTCACGTCTGGTTGCCCAGATACCAGACGAAGTCAGGGAGAAAGAAAGGAAGAAGAAAGAAAGGAAGGAAGGGGGAAGAGCAAAGAGGGTGAAGTGCGCCGGTT